TAAGCTTTTTTGTAGATTTTGTCGAGATCTCCAATTTGTCCATGAACAGTTTTCCTCTACAACTTACGGTGACCGATCTATGGCCGGTTGAAGAATAGATTTTCATAATTTTCTAATTTCTCTGTGTTGAAGGTATAGGGCCAAAAATCAAAGTCAAAATTTCGAAATTTGAAGATAGCGATTTTGTAGAGGGGATCCTAAAAAGTCCCAAAACCAATTTTTGTTCCCTTAGCTTTCCGATTTTTCAGGACTTTTCCTTTTTTTTTAAATTAAATACACCCTCTTGTAAATTATTTTTTTTCTGGAAAACTATCCAAGAGAAAATTATGGAATTTTCTGGAGAGAAATAGAAAAATCAGGACCTCATTATAGCAAAATTTAAAAATTTTCCAATGAAAGCACTCCAGGAAAAATTCTGGAAAATTAACTAAATTAAGGAAAATCAAATTTCAAAAGTTCGATTTTTTTTTTTTTTTGAGTGGGTACCTAGATGCGGCCAACACTATTCTCTGTTCAACGATTCCGCTCAGAACGTGGACATATCTTCAGCTTAAAAGTTCACAAAGAAGGTGTTGATTGGAACTTGGTAGAGTTTTACAATAACTAATAAATGACCTCCATCGTGTTCCAATCAAAATGTTATCGATTTGATTGCGATATTGTCCGCCTGGTGAGACCTAGGTATAAAGATGTCGTGGATGTTGTGCAAACGAGGTGTTGGCAATAGAGAAGCTATGGTCAGTGGCGTGTCTGACGGGCCCGCAGGGCCCGCGGTGCGGAAGGTCCCCGGGATATTTTGGGCCCCCAAATTAAACAAGGTATTCTTCTCACACAAAATATTTTTCCACTTATGTCAGTTCGAGTGTTAGTTAAAAAAAATCTTCAAAAAAATTGAGGTTTTCTCAACCATCGGCTGCATTGGAAATGATAGTGATAATTTAGCGTAAAATCTTAAAACATAACTTTATATAAAATCATTTAATTTTTACTCCACCCCAGACTCCAACGCACCATAATTTTGCTCACACCGGCAACACTAGCCGTGTTGTGTCATGGCTGTGTGTTTACTTTTATTTTTACCAAAACTATTCGGGGCCCCCAAAGGAAAATTTCGCGGGAGGGCCCCCAAGAAACTCGGCACGCCCCTGGCTATGGTCAATACAAAATTGGAGCAGACGTTGGCCAATTTCGTGTCTGGAACCAAACCGAATTTACCAATATGTTCGTCTTCTACTGTTTGACCAAATTTAGGGTTCGATAGAGAATCAAGTGTCGACTCAAAGACGTTATAAAATGATTCCACAGTATTGTCCTCCGAGTTGGAAGCAGTTACATTGACCTGCGCAATATTGATTGGTGTAGAGGTCGCATTGATTCTTAGCGTGATTATCCTGTCACTGACATATTGTCCGTCGATTTTAATCAGATACTCGGACGGAATGTGAGCTGGTGGCACCCTATATTTGAATGCCAATGGTTACCTGACATCACACCTGTTTTTTCCATATGAAACACCCCCTCGCTCCTCATACGGAAAGTGTCAGTTAAAAATCGACGAACAATACTTATAGCCAAGAAAAGTCCTTACGTGGTCTCTCGCCACTCAAAAGCCAACACCATTGATGTTTTCGATGGAATAACCCGAAAAGCAAACGAAATTGTCACTGCTGGAAGTGTCCTGCGTCCCTATAATGAGTCAACAGGCCAGCGATCGCAATATTACTTCTTGTTTCTTGTAAGCTCTTTTTCAAGAATAGAATATTGAGTTTATCGGTCACTTGAAGGCGTCTGACGTTCCATGTTGCCAGGCGATGTTTGCGGCGAGTCTTAAAAGTTTCATCACATCAGTAAAGTCCGACAAATACCATTTTAAAGTCACGTGATATTGGTGGCAAAAAACGTATGTTCGTTGATTATGTCGTTGATATCACCGACAAAAAGCTAGTGGTGGTTAATTACTATTGAATTTTAAGATATGTTCCCACTAGCATGTTACAAACGCGTTTCTGAAGTAGTATTGACCAATCAGATAATAATTTTAATACTCGCAATTGTTGCGAGACTCACTTTTGTCGCATCTGCTGTCCGTTGTAATACATTCTGAACTTGAATTGGGTATTTTTTTTCTATTTGCTTCTTTTCGAGTTAGAAAAAGGTTAACATAGTCAAAATTATTAGCTGTGTTTGTTCGTTGTATAATTTTCGAACATAACTTTGACAAACTAATTGATGACAGTGACGGATTCTATTTCAGGTAAGAATATTATGAACAATAATTAGACACCATTTTTTGTGTCAATTTTGCTATCACCGCTGTTTGAGATGTATTCAACAAGGATAGAGAAAAATCACGTGACTTTAAAATGGTATTTGTTGGACTATAGTAAGTTTCGCACAAAAAGCCTGATGATCGCACTCTTGTGACCAATTTCACACTGATTTTGTGCTCAGTATAGACAGTATAGTAGGCCTCTCCATGATTGAACTTCAAACAACTTTTCAGATTCTTAATCTGAAAAGACAAAAAAAAAATTGCTGACAAAAATTATTGGTATTAAAACATCTCAATTTATTCATTAGTTTAAAGCCAAAGGTTCTGACGTGTTAACAGCACGTCTCTGATAATGAGAATTCCCTCCTAGGTAATCATTGAAAAGAAAATTTTTGGCAAGAGAACTTTGTGGCTTTGCGAAAAGTTTTAATTTATTTTTAGTTTAGAAAATGTTTAGGAATACATATTTTCGAAAAGAAGTATTTTCCGGATTTATTCGCTCCCCCTTTTCCAATATACCTATTCCATCGTAAGCATTTTTTCAAATTCTCTGCCAAATAATCTATAAAAAAATACGACATTCCCGAGCTTTTATAGGTTATACGAGGGGAGAAGTTTTTTAATCCGGCGTGGGATACCGGCTGCAGCCGGTTTGGGGATCAAAACGGGGGAACACTGAGTGCTCTTAATTACACCACTTTGGAGTGACGTGCGTGCGTCCGGGGAGCGAGAAAATCGTGTTAATTTTTTTTAAAGGGATGGTTGAACTGATTGATTTAAAATAGATATTAGTGACTTGCATCTCATAAGAGAACAACCTTAAATCGGGTCAATTCATCAAAAGCATCTTGAATTTTACTTATATACTGGGATCCTAATCCGAAGAATGTATTGCAGTGAACTATATTTTATATATATCTAAATTTTATATTGTTTATTCGCACTAGTTCCATGCAGATATACAACAAATCTTTTTAATAATTGTTCCTCTCCTTTGCGTTCCTGATGATTGTCTCCACTTCCCTTCTCCATATTGACCATATTACTTATTTTAAGGTAGGTACTTGGTATTTCTTGTAATAAATAGAAGATCTAACTTGTTCTTTGTTACTTTTGTTTGAATTGAAATTGAATTCACAATATAAAAAAAGTTGAAGAATGGTAAAAATCCAATCTAAAAACTAATTTCTACTGAAAGTCTTAGATTACCCACAATGAGTTACTGATGTAGCATTTTAGTCCTCCTCGATTCCCAAAGCCCATCATTCCTTCACTCCAATTTTAATTACACCTGTCATAATCTAAAAAATATGGTTCCCGATTCGTAATCCTCAATCCCAAACGTGCATTTAGGTCATAAACGTCAGTACGCATCAGGCCAGGGATGAGATGAAAATAATTGCGCCAGCTAGCTAATAGCCGGGAGCAGGGAGGCGACGTAATCCTCCTGGCTAAAGGCCCGGATTGTCCCGAGACAGTCTGGCAGGAATATGGGGCTTAGGGCACATCGCGGCTGTTCCTTCACTCCTATACTATAGAATAGAGTCAAAATGATGCGTATATGGGGAGAGTTTGAGTATTGTAAAGATACTCAAAAGTTTTTTGAACATTCTCATTGTTTTGTTTTGTTCAATTTGGTTTGCCCAATATAGAGTTGCTGTTCAGTGAAATTAACCATTTTGAATTTTTTTTAAACCCCTTGATTCGCGGCCGTCAACTGACAATACTATTCAATTTTTTCACGGACAAGATTCGATTTTAAGCGCGAATTTAAATTGATGTTCGAGGCAACTTCGCGAATTTTATCTTCACGGTACTGATAACCGTTTACTCGTCGACTTTCGACTCTAGACTATCTCTTTGTTCTCTTTACTTGATTGTTTAAATACTTGTATTCCCAGCACGAACTTACGTTATTTCGATACATTCACCTAAATTACCCTGCCGCTATTTCTAAGAAATATAATTATTTGTTGAATTACCGAAAACTCCAGAAACTAAGTATCAGCAAAATACAATAAAGTATACTTAAAAATATGCTGGAACCAGCGGCAGACGGCTTCTTTCCATAAGTAATGAGTGAGGATGCCTAATTAGGACTGCGACACATGGCGTGATTCAACTTACCGAACAAACGAGGAAAAATGCTGAAAAATCATATTAATACGTCCCGGTCCTATTATTTTCAATGTGACAGGAACAACCAACAAATTAGTTCATCATCAATAATCTAATGGGATTCATACAAATTTCGAGTGAATTTTCTGTTATAGATAGGAATTCAGTCCGATTCTCCCCGTGGAATATATTTCTTCATCACTGTGGGTCGGTGATGAGTGCATAGATTTGGATACCTTTATGTGTTTAGGACTAGTCTGCTTAGAACATAAAGTCCATAATATAATATATATCTTTATATACTCAAGGACACTTGCGGCCACTTGTCCCTGATGGGGGAAACGTGCGACAACTCCCTAATGCGTCCCGATCCCGTCTTTTATGTACAAACAGATGCTTTCGACGTATACGATCTCGGCTTTTTATTTGACAACAGACCCGTGAAATGGGCATCGTTTTGATGCCTTTTGTTGTAAAGTCTGGCTGTTATGCTTGGAATATTTTTCATTTTTCTGGATGCTTTTGTACAGATTATGGCGCCCCAGACAAGGCGTTTATGGATTTTTTTAATTTTTAAAACCAATTTTAGTCACAAACTTTTTATTTTCAGGACACCCAAGATTCTTCAATCAACTTTCTTGCGGCCTGGATTTAATTTCGATGGCCGGCGAGTGGTTGACTGCCACAGCTAATACCAACATGTTCACCTACGAAATTGCTCCTGTTTTCATTCTTATGGAGACCGTCGTCATGACTCACATGAGGGAGCTTATTGGTAGTGGTTGGAGGGATGGAGACTCTATTTTGGCGCCAGGTGGATCCATATCAAATCTCTACGCGTTTTTGGCCGCAAGACATAAAATGTTCCCTAATTACAAAGAAAAAGGAATAGCCACTATACAAGGACAACTTGTAATGTTCACTTCAGATCAGGTAAGAAACATTTATTTATTATACCTAGGTACCTCTAATTCAATCAAGGTGAACCGGCACAATGGACTTTTAATTCAAAAAAATTTATAATTACTAGATCACCATCTGTATAGGGAAAAACCAAAATATTTACGACAGTGAAATATTTGGTATGGTAGGAGATGTCCGATGTCCAGAAAGATTTAAATTCAAAATGGCGATCAATATACATATTTCTTTTCTCATCAATAGCTCTACAAATATTTTTACAAACAAACTTTCTCTTTCTCAAATAAAGTCATGTTAAGACTGATGCTATTTACTCGCGACCCTGGTATTATCAGCAGAACGAAAATCGATCTCTCCACCTTCATCCAACCATGTCAAGATTCAGTGGTCTGGCAATCGAATCACATTCCTGAAAAATGCCGTTACAAAAGTAATAAAAAGTGTAATATCCTGAACTTTGCTGGAGCAATGGAGCTGAAACTATCGGAAATTATTATTTTTGTCTTTTGATACCCTTTATATTTAATTTATTAAAGATTGTTTTTTTTTTCTTTATTCCAGAGTCACTACAGTGTTAAATCTTGCGCCTCCATCTGCGGATTGGGTACCGATAACTGCGTAATGGTGCCGTCAGACGAGCAAGGAAAACTGATTCCTAGAGAACTGGAACGGATGGTTCTCGAGCGAAGAAATAAAGGCCATATTCCATTTTTCGTTGCTTGCACTTCGGGCACCACCGTTTTGGGAGCGTTCGATCCCATTAACGAGATTGCTGATATTTGTGACAGATACGGAATGTGGTTGCACGTTGATGTAAGAATTTTAATTTTATCTACTATTAAAATAAATCAAGTTTTTTCACGCCAATTAGTATAGTCGAAGATAAATGATAATAATATTTTATGGCATGGTTATAAATAATATATTTTTCTTCAATTATATCCAGGCTGCCTGGGGTGGAGGACTGTTATTATCCAAGAAATACAGACATCCAAGATTGAGTGGGATCGAAAGGTAAGTAGAATATTGTATTGGGAAACATTTTAGTTTAGTTGTGTAATTGATAACTGTAAAATATGCAAAACACAATAATAATTAGGTATCTACTAAAGAATTGTGCACTATGGTTTTGGAGCTGATTCTAGTAGGTAGATGCTTAACATTGCCAACAACAATAATTCAATTATTATCAACGTTCATCAGGGGAAATCCCAAAGCTGACAAAAGTTATACATATTACATATTTATTCATTTATTTACTTATTTAGTCTGTTTAAAGTGCACACCACAGAATAGTTATCTACATTCCAAGCTGCGAAAGCGAACTTTCCTCGGAGGTGTTCAAATAACCTCGGCTGCGCTTCGCTTCGCCTCGGTTATTTGAATACAGCTCGCTCCTAAAAGTGCTTTTGCAGCGTGTAATGTATTAAACTTTTCATTCTTCCGCTTCAAAAATCGTGAATAGGCATGCGAAATAAACATACTAGGTAATTGGGATTAAACGATTTGATAATATCCTGGCAAGTATCTTCCCCACAACAGAAACTAAATATATTTCACTGTAGCTTCCGCATTCTCCCTTTTCAAAAATGGTAGCTATGGCGGCATCTCTGAGTTCACCGGCAGGTATGGTCTCAGTAATCCACATTTAACTTATTAGGATATGGGTTTGGGCCTCCTTGTTTAAAGAATTCAGCAGGAATTTCGTCAGTACCAGATGACTTATTCTTTTTTAGTTGACTGATCAACCTCCCCTAATTTGGGAACCTTGCTCGGTTCTTGTTTTACCTATTGGTTTCTGTAATTTCGTTGAAGCAGATGTCACTATTAATTTGTGATTCTCCGTTTAGTAGTTCCTGAACTGAAAGTGTTCCTTCCAACGAGAATGAATGGAAGAACTGTCTTTGAGCATTCTTGTGCCATATCTTTGGATCATAAGGGGTTGAGTTCCCGAGTGGTTGGTACGTTTACCATCTTAGTAGCCTGAAAGAAGAGAGAATGCTGTTGGATGGATTCAGCTAGTTACTGTATTTCGTTTGTTTTTGTTATCCAACATTGGTTCTTTAATGCTCGCGTTTGCCTTTGAATTTCTCCCTTTGCTTGGTGGTATTGGATTTTTTTGCATTCGAACTGGGTTCGTTTTTCTTTTTCTTTCTACGAGGTTTTGGATGTATCGTTCTCGTCAAACCAGTCTTGATGTTTTTTTTTTTTGTATGTAGCCGACCGTTTCTTCCGAGGCAGATGTTATTGCGCTCTTTAATATTTTCCAGTACTCCTCAATGCCTTCTAGATGCTCTAACGGAAGTTTCTACCTTAGAGAGGCTTCGAAGTTTATCTTGATATGATCGCCTTGAAGGCGTTCATGTGAAATTTGCGTTTGAACTGGTTTGTTGACATCTAAGCTCTGGTGGGATGCACAAGTTCATTCTGGCTCGTATCGGTCGATGATCAGTCCAGCACTTGTTAAAGCTATCGTATTGCATACATCATTTCTGGTTCTAGAATGTATAATCATATACCTAATCGATTAGATGCCAGTGCCTTGACTAAGGGTGTTGCCAGAAGTTTTGAATGTATCATTTTGTCGAAAAAGTAGGTATATCCGGTTTCACAAGGTGATATTCTGAGCATGTGGTTAGTAGGCGAAGTCTGTTCGAGTTTATTTTTCCGACGCCTTTCTTGCCGATCACGCCTTTCCATAGATCTGACTCTGTGCCGATCCGGACGTTGAAATCACCTAAAAGAACAACTTAATCAGATCTAGGTACAAATTAAATCAAATCAAAATATGCTTTATTGTATAAAGAGAAAAATATCTAGTCTACAAAGCAGAAAAATACGATAATAAGAAAAATACAATAATATAACAATAAACACAATAATAAAATGTCAAAATTTAAATTTACAAACAGCCGTAAGTACAGATGATGAGTTAAAGAATATGTCATAACTAAAGGAAGAACATCAAAATCAAAATTAAAAAATGCAAAAATAATTGTTTCTGGGGGTAGGGATGGAGGAAGTCAAATAATTTTTCAAATTCAATATAGTTTAGATAAATGCAGCCTTACTGGCTAGTTTAGAATTTCATGAATAACTTAACTTAACGGAAAAACTATTGTCTTTGATCTTCCTCCTTCCAGGGGCCGGATTCTCGGGCCAGGGAGTAGAGCTCCCCGATAGAACGAATGTTTTGTCCTTGTCAATGTAATCGAAAAGTAAACGAGAATGAAAAAGACGAAAAATTCGTTCTCTCGAGGAGCTCTACTTCCTGGCCCAAGAATCGGCCCCCAAGATCGACGATTACAGATTTGAAAGTGGAGCCTGCTTTCATCTTTCATGTGATGTAAGTAAACGTTACCGTGCACCAGCAATAGAACTGACACGGGTCTGACCATAAGAACTTCCAAATCCCTTGTCTAGATTCATCTTCACCAAATGAAACTTTGTTACCACTAGATTAATTTAGGTAGGTACCGTTATTCCGATGTTTTTTTTCTGGAGGTTATTTTCTACCTAGGGGCTTCTTATGTTTGCAAATAATCGGAGTAATTGCTTTTAGATATTGTTACTGTTTATATTCACTTTTTTTTCATTATATTCAATTTGGTAGGTTAGAGGTTCACTTTGCTCCTAAAATAAAAAATAAACTAGTGTAGCAACTTTTTAATGATTTGAACATAATTCCAATCTGCTCTTCCAAATTTCCCGAAGGCATTAGAATCGTTGATTTTGATGAGACTACGATGACTACTGGCCAAAACCTGTAGCACAGAATGAATACTTACCTCAATGATTTGAAAAAAAAATTGACACCCAACTTGCAGCCTTCACCTTTACACTTTACAGGCACCTACCTAGAAGAAAGGTGTGAATACAAAAGTTGTGGGTTTTGGCAAAATTTTTCGAATCTATGCTCAGAAACAAAAATTGAATGCGAGAAATGTAAAATTTTGCTAGCTTTTTACTTTTTTCGAATGGGATTTCCTATATTTGATTCTATAAGGCGATTTAGTTTGAGGTTACAATTTAAATATGGCAACACGGATTTGCTGGCAGCCATATATGGCTGAAATTTGACATGTGTCAGAAGTGAGTATTGACATTTACGAGTATGGAGCGGTATTCAACACAATAATGCGTTTTAATTGTTGAAACCTTTTTCCGAAATGGAGAAAATGTAACTAACACGATTCGTGCATTACGAAATGACTTCGGTAACCATAAGCATCCATCTCGTGCCGCGGTTAACAAATTTATTAAAAATTCAAGAAATGGTCAAATTTATGAATCAATTTGTTAACCGCGGCACGAGATGAATGGTTATGGTTACCGAAGTCATTTCGTATTTCGTAATGCACGAATCGTGTTAGTTACATTTTCTCAATTTCGGAAATAAGTTTCAACAATTAAAATGGGTTCTTGTGTTGAATATTCGTAAATGTCAATACTCACGTATGACACATGTCAAATTTTTGCCATATATGGCTGCTAGCAAACCAGTGTTGCCGTTGCTATATTTAAATTGTAACCTCAAACTGAATCACCATAATTCTTGAAGAGCACAATTTTCCTACTTCTTTGTGAATCTATAAAACACGAAAATATTTTCCTCTCGAGTACGAAAACATGTTATTTTTGTTTCTATTAATAGTTATTTATTATACAAGGATACAAGGGAAAAAAGTAGCGGAGGGAGACAACACATCAAGCGCAGAAATCTTACTTTTTTCCCGTCTATAATGCACTTTTTTTTTCTGATATGGAAAAATCTCACCATTTTCCATCTATACATTTTTTTTTCTGTGACCGTACTTATACTTTTTCCCCTTGAGAAAAAAATTTGACTGGTACCTGTTACTTCTTTTCCCGTGGGAAAAAAATAATTACATTTTTCCCATGGGAGAAAAAGTGACATTTTTGCCCCTGTCAACAGGTACAAAAAAATCTACTTTTTTCCCGTCACAGAAAAATAACTATTACTTCAAAGATTTGTGTAATTTATAACCCGTAGAAGGAGAAACGTCAATTTTTCTCTCCGTACATGTTATTTCACGGGGAATTTTTATAAAATATTGAAATAATTATTTCAAGGTATCTGACCCCGTTTTAGACTTCATCACAGACGAATCACGAGTCAAGATGAATAACATATTTTAAAGACAAGAATCTGGAGTGTTTCCTGAAGATGTAAGTGGCATTATAGAAGAACTAATGAAAAATGAAAGAAAACACATTAGCAAAATAGTTTCAAAATTAAAAATATTATTAGGTATTAGGTACTACCTAGCCAATTCCGGAGAATCTGGAAAACGACGCAATTTCAGAAAGTTCTATTCCTGAGGTTATTTGAAGAGGCATTTTCAAATACTTGACACGTTGAATTGCAACTTTTCCTCCCGCAAGATGTAAATTTGGAATACGACGTTTTGGCTTTGGGGGGGCTGAAAAAAGCTCTGGCGTTGGTTGTAGGAGACTGCTAATGCTTCCAATTCGATTGTCCATCAATCCATCAATCCATCATTCGTTTCAGCACACTCGTTCCTCTTTCTACTTCATTTTTTATACTGAATTTTGGTCGTCTTGCCGGATATTGCCACTGATCTCACAAATAAATGTATAAACAAAGAACGCTTCTAATGCTGCTATTTGACGAGATCATAATGTAAACAGCTGGGACAGCTGTGAGCGTGCGCAGTAGATACATGTACCATGCTTGCGCAAAATATAGCCAATGAAAATGAAGGATATTTCAAAATGTAGAAAGTAAGGCACTGCGCAGGCGTTAGGCTGTTTCGTTGCACAACTGTTCGTAGAATATTGACCCCAAATTTTCGCACAAGTTTAACCAATCAAGCCGTACGATTGTTTATTCATTTATTTTTGAGATCAGTGGATATTGCAGGCTATCCTCTTCTAATTTATGACGTTCTGAATTTCTTTATTGTTCCCATGAACTCGGATGTAGGTACCTAATCCTTCTGATTAAGCCTGTTTATTCTTGCTAGGCTAACAGCATAGCTGTTTTAAGCATTGACCAGTGCTGTTCAAAATAGTCGAAATATTCAGCAGACAATTTCTCATTCAATAAAAGTTGGAAGTTTGTTCGGCTGTTTTCACTTTATAGGTTGTTCCATATTAAATTTAGTCGATAAGAACAACCTATACAAAATTTCCAGACTGAACGGGTTGAAGAATTATTTGATAAAAACCGAGGGATTATCGATAGGAAAGAAAAACTGAGGAACGAAAACTACGAACTACTAAGTCACTGGAATGATCCAAGTAACAATAAAAGAAAGACAACGCAGACTCTTCAATATATGCTTAATGGAGGAACAATATCAATATCATCAAAATGGCCCTCGAAAATGTAAGGATTGATTAACCATACATGAACCTTGGCCAGAAAACAAATGCAACGTCAAGACTCCGGATAAAACTTCACGAAACAAGTCAAATCAAAGAAGAGAAAACAAACCAAATGCAACAGACCAAAACAGCTGGCCTAAATTGGTACCATCAAATGCACATCCATGGAGTACAGGAAGGTCTATTATCACAGAATAGAGAAAAGATGCCTACCGATGATGGATGATATTCTTTATAAAAGATTCATTTAACATCTAGCAGGACAGGATATGAGATCAAAAGGGTGCGAAATATAAAATAAAAATATTAGACTCACAGAACCTTGATGCTAAAACTTCTGTCTTCTGTTGGAAAAGAAAAAGAATTGAATTGAAATCTATTGAATAACGAGCCAAACATTTTTACACCAAATATGAATCAAATTCAAATAAACTAATTTGAAATGTGAACTAATCGAGAATAAATGACCAAGTTTATTTTTCAAGTTAAATCTTACATCAAGTCAGAGTCACAGTAAAGTTTTCCTTTCATTTAGGCTCCTTTATACCCTATAGTATATATATCCCAGTTCCCGCTGTTCCCATGTAACAAGTGTTACAGCTGGGGAGGTCGCTCTTTTTTACTGCCTAAAATTAATAGTGGCTTTCATTTAATACGCACCCCCACAGCTTTTGTGAATAGCCGCCGAGGACGCGTGATTAATGAAAACTGTAATTAATACTGGCCTGCCAAGGTCGTAATTGTGGTTTTAATGTGGGTAATTTACGACATTTTGGGGATGACTTTTTAGATTTAGGTGGTTAAAATTGAAATTTTTAGTATTAAATTGATTATATTTTTATTATTAATGCTTGAAACGCCCCCTTTTTGATATCCTTAATCTGCCATTATTTTAAGAGACAGTCAGGACAAATATCCAGCTGCGAGATTCCCATGTAGTCAGTCAAGGATTACACTTTTGCACTTCAATCCCGACACGTTTTTGCTCTTTCCAACTTGTTCCATTATTCGTAAGAAGAAAAAAGGGTGCGATTTTAATCCCACTTTATTTTTTTTTCACGAGACACAAAGAACGTTCAAAATTAACAAAGAATAATTATTTAGAGCCTCAGATTTTTCAAAATAAGAAAAGATATTTCCACCCTCATTATATCAGCTTATCAGGCCAAAGTCAATCCCTAGAGATGGGGATCCCCTAGAGTGCGTTCGACACTTTAACACTTGGGGAAAGTGTTTTTTTAACCGTAAGTAGTTGAAAATGCAAATTGATGCCCACTTTACAGCTTATCGGTGGCTTTAACGCGGTTGCATCGGAATATTGATTCAACGGTATTTTTTTCTAAAGAGATTTGAGGGCGTTTTTAGGGCGGCTAAAGGTAGGATTTATGTTGAGTGATCCGAGCAGTAATCATTATTACGTTTACAGATATTGATTTCAGATAAGATAAGAAATATTTCGACGAATAATCAAAATATTCAAACTATCTTAATGATGAATCTAATTTTAGAAAACATTAATATGCACAGTAGTAAATTACGCGAGTTAATTAACCACATACAAAACGCAATCAGTTTTGCACACACAAGCATAATGCACTATACAATACTACAGCATAATGAATTGAACTTGATCTTGAAAAACATACCCACCAGTCAACAAATACCGTTTGACAACGTAATTAAATACTATGAGATTCATGTAATAATTCAGAAGGAACTAATTATTTTTACTATATTTACACCAATAATTAATCCTAAACCTTTTATATTGTATAATTTATTTCCTATACCCATTCAAAGTTATACAATTAATGTTAAGTATCCTTTCCTGTTACTTACCACAGACAGGTATCACAATGCTTTACAAAAATGTCCAAATATTGAAGACATTTATTTGTGCAAAATGGAACTATTTAAACAAGATGAGCCCTGTGTTCACGATATTTTATCTAGTGAACAACAATTATGCCCATTCACGAAAATTCAATACGAAGAATCGACAGATGAAGAAATACCCAATAATCAAGTATAGGTTATTCCAAAACGACATGTAACAGCAATGCTGCAATGTGACCAGAAGAAATACATGGAAATCATTTCCAGTCCAATCGTAATTTCCAAAGGCAAATGTTCAATAACAATTAACAATCGAACATTTTTGGAAGACACGCATGAGAACTTCAACATATAACTAGAACTACTCATCATCGACATTCCTGAATTTCTAGAGAATACCACAACTGTAAGACTGAAAGCAGTCAACCATGAAGCTCGTCAATCAGCGATTAAAGAAGCAAATAAATTAAAGACTGACACATTTAAAAGAGTTTAATTTTGAAACCAATAATGTGTCACTATCAACCAATATTATAATCATAGTATTAAGTTCTATTTTTATAACAATTATTCTTATTCTATATTTGGAATATTCATTATTTATGGATTCTTTAAATGATCTTAAAATATGACAAACAATTTTATTAACATTGCCTGGCAGAGACAGTGGGCATATCAACCAGTAATAATTCAATATTATATTTTCTTTCAGAGCTCAATCTGTTACATGGAACCCGCACAAGCTGATGGGTGCTCTATTGCAGTGTTCAACCATTCATTTCAAGGAAGAGGTAGATACCTGTTGATTCCAATAAATCTTAAAATTATTAAATTTTGATTTTTTTAGGGTTTGTTGATGAGTTGTAACCAAATGTCTGCAGATTATCTATTTATGCAAGATAAACTCTACGACATTAAATTCGATACTGGAGACAAAGTTATCCAGTGCGGACGGCATAACGATATTTTCAAGTTGTGGTTGCAATGGAGAGCCAAGGTAAGAGTTAGATTTGAAAATCCAATAAATCCAATTAACTATATAGATAATTCATGTTTTATTTGAATTACCTACTTAATCAAACCAAAACTGGAATTTTTGTACTTTTTGAAGCATGAAATTTAATGCATTTGAAGTTACCATATGCACCTGCACTAACAAACTGATTCCAGGTGTATTGTGTATTGTTGGTTGCTTATTTCCAAATGCAACTAAATCAATAATAATTATTAGCAATTTTTCCAGTCCAAGTCGATGTTTGCATGCAAAATATTTGTCTACAACTAGAACTGAATATTACGAATGTAAATAAAGACTAAATAGGCGAAAAACCTAATAAAAGTTTCAAAAAAAAGTATTCCCCAGGTGAGGCTCGAACTCACAACCCCGGCATCGCTCACGACTACTGTCTTATAAGTACCGTGCGCTAACCAATTGCGCCACTGGGGACTCGTTATGTTTTGTCCATAATGTTATTTTGTTCCTTAAGGAAATCATTAGAATTTAATTCATTTAAATTGTATGTGAATTAATCATAGGAGTGAATTGAATTGACTTCGGACCTTGCCCGGAATCCCAAGTGCGAAAGCTGCGATGGTTTATATAAAAAAAGGAACAACACAAAAATTGAAATTATGAGACCAGGCATTGGATGAGGCAGACATACAAAACTTTCCTGGAAAATAAATTTAATTCATTCTGCTAGTTCCTACTGACATGCTACTGTTGATAAAATTAAACATTTAGATTAAGTAAACAAATATGAACAAATTAAAAATTTTAAACTTTAAATGTTTTTTATCAGGCAACCAAACATACATTCACTTCTTACTTCTTCAACAATTGATATTTTATGCTGCTACTCTACTCTTATCCTACTCCCCACAAGGAATAGCACGGGATAGTTTTATTCTTTTCTAACGAAAACTTCAATATCAATTTCAACAATACAACTGGCGTCATCTACTGTCGTGAACTGTAGTTTTTACGACGATGATGGTGCATATCGAACTGCACCTGATGGATCTAAAAGCGCTCCGAAATGTTCGGCTTAAAAAGGAGCGTTGCTCTCGGCGAGATTCACGTGTTCGACTTGAGCAATAGAACGCACTCAAATCTCGCACGGAGTGCTCTTTCTTGCTCCGTCAAATTCGATGGATCAAAGAGTTTCATCAACAAAATAAAGTGTGTTCGGCTATTTTGCTATTTATTTCAAATCGTGTCCTTCGTTTGGATTATAATCGCTCTCGGAGCACTCCCGCAGAGATCTATGATGACATCACTGCCCAGACTACCTCCGTCTGGGAGCAGTGAAGAAATGTTATTAAAACCCAAGGATATTACACACTACACAGGATAGCGTATCCATCATCTGTGTCCAGGCCATTTTTCGCAAGGATAATCAAGCATGATGTGTCAATTGTGTCATACTCCTCTAACTGCCCCTAACGCTAGATCCTATCATCAAATTCTGGAATACTCGAGGATCAAGAACACCTATAATTTCTTCTGTGAGAACAGACCGACAATCACCTTTTCTACATTTAAAATCGACGAAAAAATTAACTCACTAGCACAACCTGAATCGCGAGCCTTCCATCGAGGTCTGCGGTTGACGTCATCACTATAAATTGCTGATAGTGACGTCACTCGCAGGCTCAACATTTGATGAGGAGGGAGTTAAGGGAGTATGACACAATTGACACATCACATAACCCATTATGCTCGATTATCCTTGCGAAAAATTGCCAATTTATCTCAAGCCCCCACCATGCCAAAGTAACAGTGATGACGTAGTCAGCGTATGGTTTTTCGCTTTGATGTAGAGTATTCACACCACTGGCTGTCATTCCGTTGGCTTTTGCTTTGTGAATATCGAATATTTAGTTTTAGTACATTATTAACATTTTGAACCCTTTTTAGATAGCATTTGTTGCAGCTGCCTCTTTGACTATTATTGTTTATCAAAATTTAATAATATTTTTCATGATAAACTCATATTCCTGGCTGGCACAAACAGCTAACGGCACCGTTGATGACGTCGACAACGGTGCAACACATATGGCCTTGATTCCAAAAATCGAGGCCGTTGAGCAATCCTGTAGTAGTACTAGTCTATATTATCTCTGATTAAAACCTAGAGGTTTAAAAGAATACCTTTTGCACCTCTTATGAAAAATTTCCCTTAGGTGATTTTATCGGTGTTAACGCGTTGTGACGTAGGTTGCGTTGCGCTATTTTTGAAGCAGAATTTTTAGTTATTGCATCTCGTACCTAGTTCCAAAAACAGGGGAAAACATTATCGTTCTCTATAAATTTTAGACTTTTTCAAGGCATTTCATTCTATTGCATTGAAATTGGCCCGTAAGATGTTGACTTGCCAGTCTTGTATACGCGGTTTTCATAACGCAGGAATTTCTCTACTTTTATTAAAGAATACGGCCAAAAGAGGCGAATAAACCGAAGATTCGAAAAAAATCAAATAAGATATAGAACTTATGAATTCGAGAAATATTTTTTTATGTTTAATTTTTCAACCTAACGTTTTATTAGGCAATTTTTCGCGAGGATAATCAAGCATACTAGATTATGCTCCATGCGTCAATTGTGTCATACTTCCCTAACTGCCCCACCATCAAATTCTGGGATACTCGAGGATCAAGAATACTTAACTTCTTCTGTGAGAAAAGACTGAAAATCACCTTTTCTACATTTGAAATCGACGAAAAAATTAACTCACTGGCACAGCCTGAATCGCAAGCATTCCATCGAGCATCGAGGTCTGCGGGTGATGCCATCACTATACGATGCTGATAGTGACGTCACTCGCAAGCCCAGAATTGGATAAGGAGGGAGTTAGGGGAGTACGACACAATTGACATATAACATGAGTGCGTTCGAAAAAGGGTTAAATTTTACCCAATAAGGGTGAGGAGTGGGTATATGGTCACGTGGTCAGAAGAGTGACATTTTGTCTGGTGTGTTTTCGAACGGGCAAATTTCCAAAAAATTTCCCGATAATTTCCATTACACTCGTCGTATTACTATTGAAAATAAACAGAGTTTCATTTCCAATTACAATGGTACAAATTTAATAAAACCCTAATCCAACACCCTTCTAAACAAAAGTAAACAATTCTAAGTTGATGCAATCGTACAGCCACCTCTACACTGTCTCTGAGCTTGTGAATCAAATGATGCAATCAAAAAGCCTTGTACTTCAATGACACTTTCATATAGCCCCACTACGTTAGGTACAATATTTTTAAATCCCAAACACCTTTTACATCTCAAAACAATAATTCATAATTTAGTTTAATTTTTATAACTTCCTGTTCTATAAGCGTATAAAATTCCTGAACTAGCTTACTGCCAAATTTTGAAAAATAGACTCAAAGTCTTGTACTTAGCCAGAGTGAATACGATCCGAACAATGAACATTTTATCTTAATTCATTTAATTGGAAACCAAAATATCTAACTAATAATTTACTAGACGGAACAATACAGTCAATTCGATTATCCAAACTTTTCAGTAAAATTCATTTCATTTAACAGTCATTTGAATTAAATTTATCTATCTATACTTAGCACAAAAATATTCAAAGTCAATTCCCTCAAGATAATAATATGTATGCAATAAAGTTTCATAGTCAATTCACTTCATAGTCATTTCAACATTGATAAAGTCAAAATAAAACTTGTCACTAGAGTACTTACATTTAAATTATCGCCCTTAAATTCTAATTTCTTTTGATTATTTAGAGCTCGCACATAATGTTGAACGAATTTAAATGTTCTTTCTTTCACAATTTTCCGTTACTTTTTCAAAGATCGATTTAACGCGTTTTCCCGAGGCAACAAAATAACTTACTGTAGACTTAAGCTCAAGACTGAACTGAAGACTCAACTGGACTTAAACTGATCCCAAAACTCCGAAACCGCTGTGTTTATATTTTTCATTTTCCCCAAAATATTTCGGGGCCACTTTACACAACATTGGCTATTCCTAAGGAAATATAATTTATTTGTTTAAAACCTAGTAATTTCGTGGGTCAACAGATTTGGTTCAAGAATGTGAGGACATATAAATCAATAAATCAAAGGATACCGAAACTCGTGTCGGCCGTAAATCACCAATTTAGTTACTTTTGCCTAGATTTTAATAATAAAATTTTGAACGTATTTCAGATATTTTAATTAATTTGGGTCACTGCTAATTTGTTTCATTTTCAATTTATTGATACTGATTTGAAATATTGGAGATTCAATTTTTGATTATTAGATTACATTTAACTTTTACTGTTAAGACATTGTAAATTACGGGTCTATTTTTCGCAGGTCATTACACTTTATATTTGATGATAGTGTTTGGAAGGCTTTCTGCTGCCATAGAAGTATTTTCCATTGAGGCCATTCATTATACTTCTAACAAATTTGGGGACAAACGTGCTTTCGGTTTCAGCGTTATTTTTACTCTTGACAAATCTAGGAAAAATTCTAACTTAGCTGTTTCCAACATTTTTGACTGCTGGAACAGATCTAATAATATAGTTTCGCTCACATATATTATTTTTGAAAGTTATATAAAATAAAATAAAATAAAATAAAATAAAAATCGGTTTATTGATGAGAACAAAGAAGAGAAAAACCCTGTACCCATCAAATGGTGATTAGACCGCACAGCGTTTTTTAATAACCACCAATTCAATAATTTAATATCACTTATTAACTAAAACAAGTAAAGATATAATAAAATATCACAATAATCATCACAATAAGTACATAAAATGTATAAAATATAAAATGTATAAAATAAAATGTATAAAATATGAAATATAAAACATGAAATATAAAACGTATAAAATATAAAACCTTGAATAACAATAATTACACAACCTGAAATGATGATACTGGCAGTGGCAAACCCCCATTGGGATACAATTATTTACATTAAAGACATAAATGCTTATCTCGTATTTCACTTTTTACCCTATTCCCAAATCCTATTATATTCAATGAAAACATCTGTGGAAAAAAGTTATATGTGTGTGCTACCAAGTAGGTGAAACAGGACTTGAATAGTTCACAGCGATGTTGTGGAATATTTAATAATATTTATCTATTACGTGTGTTAAAATGATGTATATCACCTCGCTTAACCATCAATTCGAGGAGATACATAGGAATAGAACTCCTTATAATTTTATAAATCAGGCAGCAGAGATGCAAAAATCTTCTCTCTCCCATGTTGTTATGAAAGGTGTCTGTGACAGATTGGCTGACATGATCTCTGCGCGACAACTTGTGCACAAATCTCACACATGAATTTTGTATTTTTTGAATACGGTATTTATTAAAGTTAGTTAAAGAAGGACCATACACAACATCAAGATATCCAGGAATTGACAAAACAAGAGACTCTGTTAGATTTTTTTTAGTTGCTACCGGTAACAAATCTCTAAACTCAAAAAGGGTTTTGAGACGTAAATAGCATTTTTGTGAGATTTTATTTACATGACTATTGAAAGTAAAGTGTTTGTCAATACACAAACCTAAACTTTGAACTTCATCCCTAAACTCAATTTTGGTATTATCAAGATAGATTTGAGGTTCAATATTAATATTTGCCTTTGTGATAAGGATTCCTTGAGTTTTTTAAGGGTTTATCACAAGTGAGTTTTTTTTTGTCCAGTTTGATATTGCGTTTAGGTCGCTAGTTATTGCAGCGCTGCATTCTACCATTCGATCACTAGGTACTTCCATATATATCTGTAAATCATCAGCATACATATGGTATGAACAAAATTTTAAGACTTTAGGTAAATCTGAAGTGAAGATAGCAAAATGACGCTGATTTTCAATTTTGAATCGTCATATAATAGGTATCTTTTTTTTAGGGTGATGACGGTTTTGAGAAACACATGGACCGCCTTATGGAATTGACCGAATACTTAGTAAAAAAGATCAGAGATCAACCTGACAAATTCTACCTCATCATGGAACCAGAAATGGTTAACGTTAGTTTCTGGTACATTCCTAGTCGTTTAAGAAATATGCCGCACAATAAACACCGGGAGCAGGAGCTGGGAAATGTTAGCAACAACATGAATTAATATTTCTCGAGATTTTAATTTTTGTTTGTAGATGTGTCCTGTACTTAAAGCCCGAATGATGCAAGAAGGAACCCTTATGGTAGGTTACCAACCGGACGATCGCAGGCCTAACTTTTTCAGGAACATTATTTCATCTGCAGCGGTTACCGAAAAGGACATTGATTTCCTGTTGAGCGAAATGGACCGTCTCGGACATGATTTGTAAATCTAAAAATCCTAAACTCATATCTGCCATCTATAGAATTTTCGACATAATTAGATTTTCAATGTGGTGTGAATGATTTCCTAAATATTTGTTTTAAATTGAAAAGAATTCTTCAATAATTGGCAAGTTGTCTGATGTAAAGAATATTTTGCCTAATAACTGAAAATCTTTTAGATAAATTTATAGAAGAAAATGCCAATATTTTGTGATTTAAAAAGTGTTATGTTACTCAGATCGTTAGGAAAATGTTTAGACTATTGATGTTTTTTCTATAATAATTAGTTTTTAAATAATAATTGTTAAATGTGGTACAAATAATATATCGTTTGTCGGACTAAATAAAGTGTCCTCAAAGTAGCTAATAAACTCGCCTCTATCTCAATAAAGGAATCACTAGTAACAAACTTTTATAATTTCGCCATTTTATCAAAACATCTCGATGATGCATGGTAGGTATATCTTTAAATGTATCAGGACTTTTGGCCTTTCTATAAAGAAGGGAGTGGATGAAATTGAAATTAATCAATCTTAATTTTTACCTAGGCACATTTATGACATATCCATACAGCCCTAACTTTAGGATTGAAACCACCTTAATTGTTATTTTTTTTCCAATTGGAAGGGTGCGTCTTACAAAAGCTCTTCAACGTAGACTATTGAATTTCATGGGTCCGCAAAGATCTTTGAAACTTTCTGCTTGTGTAAAATAAACTTTTGTTCTGATGGAAAAAATCCGCAGGATTCAGATCAGGTTACATTGCTGGCCATATTTAATATAGCTCCGCTCCTTCTAATCCACATATCAAGGAAAAACTTGATTGAGGTAATTGCGAACAAAATATATTTTTTTCTAATCCCAGCAACAAACAAAAAAAAACTTAATATAAACCTACAGACTGATATCGTCAATAAATGTTTGTCAATAAAAAATCAAAATAACAACTTGAAGAAAAAACATTACAGGTTCATTATATACCTAAGTATATAAAATTGAAATTATAAGGTAAAATTATTGTTCTTGATTTAGATATTTTATTCTTGTTATAATTTGATAAATAATAAAGCTTCTAAGCAAACAAGTATTTAATTTATTTGTAATATTATAATATATGATTATTTAAAGCAAATTTAATTAAGAAGTCTGTACCTATCGCATCTGCGTAATTAAATCTACTGACATTAAAATTCATATAAACAGCCAATTTTATCATAATAAAAACATATCAAAGTTGTAAGTAAATGAATCCACTTGAAATTTGTTTACTTACTCAGTTTTCTCATTATGAAATCATTGAAATCGTTATAATATTGTTGACGAAAATTGTATTTAAACGTAATTATATTATCAAAAAATTATAGTGTTTAAAGTGTGTAGCTGATGCAATAATGTTGTATGATAAATTTAAAATATTTTTATTGTTATCTGCTACCTTTTCTTTGCAAAATTATTATACAATAATTGAGAGAATTCAAAAAAAAATCCTTGGTGTAAAAATCCAAATTACATATTGCCATCTATCAAACTGTCTAAATGTTCATGTGTTTTGGATTTACACTAAAACTTTGTGTAAATAATAATTATTGTGAAGTAAATGGTAAAATAGGTCAATAATACCAGAGTAGTAACATTTGCACTATATGTACTGTAATATAAGAAATTGCACCTTGCACCATAATAAAAGAATTTTCATGTTCAAAAAATATATAGATTATACCTACCTAATATTTTGTTAACTATTGTTGTTAGACCACAAAATCATTAGCCTTCCAAATGTGAAATTATTGTATGGTTTTTGTGAAGCTATGAAATATAATTATTAATTTGTTAATAATCAAAAATAAAATAAGTTCTAAGCTGCTTTTTGCCAGAAGAAATTGTTAGAAATGTATGTAAATGTATGAATAATGTTAATAAATGTAAAAATTTTAGAAATCTTCTAGAGTTGATCATCCTATCACAACAAAACGCAGAACGCGGCTTTATGGCATCGAATATTGACGTATAAATGTATGTATAAAAAAAAATAATGAAATATAAATGAAATTAGTTATCCTACTAACTTATTTGTTTTATTAAATTATCATCTACCCAAAATCTGTGAGTGATATAAATCAAATGAATATGGATACCTATACTTATTCAATGCCTATTCAATTCAAAATATGCTGGATTGTCTGAAGCAGTGTGCAAAATGCAAAAAAAGGTATTATGAATTTGAAATAAAATACTCAAATTAAAATATATTTTGCATTTCTACTAGCAACTAAAATCTGTTTTTTTTTTAAAGATAAAAGTCAAAATGACATTCTGTTGGCAATACAATGTAAAATTGTCAATGCTTTCAAATTTTTTATGTAGAGAAGGCTTGTGTTGCCAACATAGTTACTAAATTTTTGACTTGGGGAATTATGTTTAAAAAAAAAAACATCCTTTAGAAATATTCATTAATTTAAAGTGAAGATATTCCTCTGTACTTTCTACATTGAGCGTCGCCATTTTTAAAAATCTACTCAGTACTATGGAGACAACTCTGAGTTCGGCAGGTATGGTCTCAGTAATCCATATTTTACTTTAAAGAATTCTGCAGAAATACTGTCAGAAGTTCCTGAAAGTGTTCCTTCCAACGAAAATAAATAGAAGAACTGTTTTCAAGCAGTCTTATATTGTGTCATCTTGGGATCGTAAGGGATTAGGTTGTTGAGTGGTTGGTGTAACATAACGCAATAACATGGTCACAAGTGAATATCTATTAAATAAAACATGGTGTCAGCATTGTGAAAAAGACTGTAAGAAAATAAAAGTTTTGGAAGAAAGTTTGAGCTAGAATAAAAGCTTCTGTAGAAAAAGGTTGGAAAAGAAATTACACCACCCAATATGGCAGCAATTTTTAAAGCACCAAAAACCATAGCTTTTGATCAGCATGTAGCTCAAAGTTTTGAGAAATTTTTGAGTTCTTTTAAAATTTATATGAAAGCAGCTGGATTTGATAAAAAATATGATGAAACAAGAATCGCAATATTCCTCAACCTAGCAGGGAAGGAAGCTCAGGATGTATTTAATACATTTAAATTAAGTGATGTTGAAAGTAAGAATTATGAAACTGTAATAAAAACATTTGAAACGTACTGCAAGCCCCTAAGAAACGAAACCTATTATAGGTTCAAGTTTTTCACCAGAAATCAGCAAGAAGGTAAGGAGTTTGATCACTTTTTAACCGAAATTAAAATATTGGCTAAAAACAGCTAATTTGGCGACCTGCATGACTCACTGACAAGGGACAAGCTAATAAGTGGAATATTGGACATTGCATTGCAGGAGAGGTTATTGAGAACAGAAAACTTAACACTTGAATTAGCAGAGGCTCAGTGTAGGATGTCAGAAGCAACTAAACACCAAATGAAAGGCTTAAGAAATACTTAACAAGTAGACAGTATGAGGTTTAACAAAGGTAATGGTAGTTCTACACAAGAAAAGGAATATAATTGCTTTTATGCAATACAAAACATGGACCATGCTCAAAATGTGGCAAAATGAACCATTTTGCTGTTGGTTGTAAAATCAAAGACAGCAAGTTAGGTAAAAACTTTAGAGATAAGAATTTTACAAAGAAAAAGCGTAGATATATATATGAGGTTGAAAGTCGTAGCGAAAGTAGTTCTGAGAAGAGTGAAGCTTCATCTGGTCCATATATAGAATCAATAGTGTTAGATAATATAGGTAAATTATAGGCAAAATAAGGAAATTTGGATATCAGACTTGATAATTAATAATGAATTTGTTACTTTCAAGCTTGATACAGGCGCAAATTGCAATTGTATACCTGCAATTGTATACCTGCAAGAAAATTAAAACTTGAGAATAAAATTATCCAAAATAATTTGTCGCTGAATACCTATGGTGACAATAATATAAAAGCTATTGGCTATGTTATCTTGAGATGTTTAATTAAAAATAAGAAACAGAACATAAAATTTGTAGTTGTAGAGTGTGACAGTATGTCCATTTTAGGATTAAATACTTGCACTAAGTTAGACTTATTAAAAAGAGTTCTGGATGAGAAACAACATTTTTTAATTAAGAATGCCAAAGTATTTGGGGGAACAGGCAAAATTCCCTATAAATAAAAGAACCTACCGAATGGGTCAATAACATAGTTATTGTGGAGAAGCCTTCGGGTGCGTTACGTATTTGCCTTGATCCAGTTCATTTGAATAAATATGTATGTTTTGATCAATATCCGATACCAACAGTTTTTACACAGTTTTAGACCTAAAGGAAGGATTTTATCATGTCCCCCTTGATGCTGGAAGTAGAAAATTATGTACATTCATAACACCTTTTGGCAAATATTCTCTTAATCGACTCCCATTTGGGCTAAGTGTGAGTCTTGAAGTTTTCCAAAAAATAAATGACAAAATATTTGGAGATTTGCCTATCGGGATATATTTTGATGATTTCATAATAGGGGGAATAAATGAGGAAGAACATGATAGGATTCTTGCTGGAGATGATTAAATGAGCGGATAAATATGGAGTAAAATTCAATAAACCCAAAGTACAATACAAAGTTTCACAGGTTTGCTATATAGATCAGGTTTTCTCAGTAGATGGTGTACAGGGTGATCTATTATAAATGAAACCCCCTGCTAACTTTTTCATTTGACGTTTTTGACAGAAGTGTCAAATACAAAAGTTTCAAGAAATTGTCAAAAGTTTTTAACTGTCAGTTTTAGGCATACAGGGTGCGTCAAAAAAGTGCAGCAGTGTGAAGTTTTTTTTTTTAATGGAATAAATAGAATATCCTGTATATTGTGCGCTTATTTGTTAGTCCCCTTTAACCTGATTTCAACGTTATATGGTTTGATATTTTTATCCCTTGCCTTGGTTTATCTCCAATAGTTATAGGGAAAAACAGGAAAATTCCTTCCTAGGTCTCTCATGTTATTTTTTTTTAAATAAAAATAATAGCTTAGACATCTGGACTTATTATAATAT